CTGTCTGTCTGTCTGTCTGTCTGTACATTTGTCTGTTTGTCCACTCTTAAAGGCACCGGGTACTTGAAACGGCCGACCCCATCCGCAGCGCTTACCAAGGTTGCACAAGATTTAGCGTTCATACTTGTGTAATTGACAACTATTAAGCAATTATCGCGCATGTTTAAGGCACCATAACAACACGTATATATTCTGCATGTGCATCTTTTACTAGAAAAGGCATAGATAAGTAGTTTTAAGGACTGTAGTGCTTATCATGCTGCGCTAAGCATGCAACGCTTGCACGAAAAGGCGAGTGTTTCCAACGCTTTGCTATGACGAGATGGTGGTGGCACCTACCCGTCGCCTTGCGTTCTACACCTTATCACATCTAAGACGGGCGTGCACAGCCGTCTCAGAGCCACGCTATTCGGTTTCCAAGAAAACCGCCAGATGGCGCTCATGCCTCACGTGTGACGTGACTTGATGCGCTCGTTCGCCTCCGTTGCACGCTCGAGGCACTCTAACGTAGCGCATCCAGAATGTCATTCACGGATTTTCTTGCACAGAACATCAAATAAATGTTTCACTCTCTCCACACGCAAGACTATCGTCTTTCGACGATAGTTGCAGATTAACATGCAGATACAGAGCCAATTGTTTCTTTTGTTTCTTTTCTTGCCGCAACGTATTTGTTGTCTTCGCTCTAGATTCGAAAAGATAACAGTCATGCGGCACATGGTGGAAAACAAGTGAACTGGACGCTAATGTCTGTGAAAGCGGGATCTGATTGCACTTGCTGCAGTAATGAAGTCGTTGAATGTTCAAGTCGTTGAAGAGTACTGAATTTGTTGGTGAACGTACTTCAAAAGAATCTGAATTTCTTACTTCTTACGATTATTTCATGGGGAGTTTGCTTAGCGCCAAAAACATTTCGAGTATTACTGCTAGAAGAATACAGGAATAGTAAGTAAATACAGGTAAAATGGTCCTATAATGTGGAAGCTAAAAATACCAAGAAAAAAAAACCAGAGATGTCCAGAACAATTCGCTCCTTTCATGAAAATCCGTCAGCCACATGCTCATTGCTTGATAACTTATTTACAACTTGACAAAATAACTTTGCAGCTAGCCATTTACAAGTCAAAAGTTTTAAACTTGAAGGAAAATACCGTAGAATTGAATATTAAAGCTTAAATTAGATCAAGTCGTCGAGCCAATACTTGGAATCTGCACATTCACTGAAGATATAGCTTGGTTTGTGCGAATGGAATCTGTTGGACTTTGTTAGAAATAAGGTATCGAGACATCCCACCACGTTCATTATTGCAGCAGCTTTGGATAGCGTGATCCTAACTGGAGCCATCCGAGTCTTAGGAGAAGGCGAGTAGAGAAGCTTGGGTTTGTAATAAAGGGCGTCTATATACAGTATTTACGTGCTTATAGTAACGTGATAAAACATTCTATATTCTCGGTCTTTCCAAGTTCAGTGCAGTGTCAGCACTAAATTTTGACCTTCCAGTGGTTCGGAAGCCTTTTAACAATTGAAGACAAACGGCATATTAGTTTTTGCAATAGGGCATGCTGCAAGATGCTCATCTTATTCGATTCAGTAAAGAAAACCACGAAACAAGCATCAAAGCCACATGATGAAGGAAAAGGTGACTGTGAACAATAGGAACACCCTGCCACGCGTTCCCGGTAAAGATTAGATTGCAGCTGCTTTGCCCGTCACATAAGGGTTTCTAATGACATGAAACGGCCGTTCCTCCTCCTTGCGTGTGTTTCCTGTTTTGATATATAAAAAGAGAGCCATCTATGATTTGATGACTGATCGATATGTGGGGTTTAACATCCCAAAACTACCATATGATTATGAGAGACGCCGTAGTGGAGGACTCCGGTAATTTCGATTACCTGGGGTTCTTTGACGTGCACCCAAATCTGAGCACATGGGCCTACAGCATTTCCGCCTCCATTGAAAATTCAGCCACCGCAGCTTACATACAGTCGCGTGACCTGCGGATCAGCAACCGAGTAACTTAGCCACTTAACCACCGCGGTGAGGCGAGAAGCATTATAAACTTACTCTGTTTAATCTCTGTAGACCATGGCAATTAAAGACACCAAAAGAACAGCGTGAGTGCAATATTGAACGAAAAGAACAAATTCGTCTTGCTGAGATTGGTCGTGGAACCAATCATGGTCTCCCTCAATGACCAGAAAGCGATGATTATCACCACCAGAACCACAATAAGAACAAAACGTTTATTTGATGTTGTACACGCGAAAATTGGCGAATTGTATTCTGGAGGCACTGCGAGACTCGATTCATGCAGCGAAGGCGAAGGAGCGCATCGAGGCACGTTAGACACGAGTGCTTATTGGCAGTTATCTTCAAAAACGAAGCAAAGCGTGCGCTCCCGTCTTGGAGGCGATAAGGTGTAGAAGGCAAAGCGACGGGCAGATGCCACCGCCGTATCGTCTTAGCAAAACGTTGGAAACGCTTGCCTTTTTGAGCATCGTGTTGCATTGTCAGCGCAGCGTGATAAACGCTATGGTCCTTCGAATTACTTATGTATGCCTTCTCTAGTATAAAGATGCACATACAAAATATCTACTTGTTGTTATGATGCCTAATGTATGCGAAATAACTGTGTTTAATTGACAATCGCGCAAGTATGAACGCTGAAACTGGAGCACTATTGGTGGGTGCTGCGGATGGGGTTGGCCGTTTGTGGTATCGTTAGGGCGGACAAACAGATAAATGTACTGAGAGACAGACCAAAATTTGTGCATCGAAGTACCGCAAGAAAAATTATTGTCTTCAAAACAATAACCCCCACTCCCCCATCAGCATGGGTGGCGTTTGATACAACTTCGGATATTCACATTCGCTGGGTGGGATGGAGTCAAAATTTCTAAGCAATAGATCGCAAATAAAGAAATACCCATAAGGAGCACGTATTGGGTTTCCTCCTGCTTATGCCTTGAGAGTGTACCGTAAAAGCGGAGATAGAAAAAGGGCATGTTTTGTTAACGCGATAGCATCAAAGAGCTCGTTTAGCAGAATTTACCACGTCGGCGCCATTGGTGTATAGTGAAAAATCAACTTGTGCATGACCAAAAAAATTGAGAATGATGTAAAGGAAGTGATAAATGATAAAAAAAATTCTGGGTCAGCGTGGGGATGCACACCCACGCCTCTTTTTTTTCTTTAATGAATGACATTGTCACCAGTAAAGTACACAGAACATACTTCATCAGAAGTCAGGCAAACACACACAAGCGTCAAGAACGGGAAGCCACTCCGGAACGGGGTCAAAAGTCTCGACAACACTGCGCACTTGAGCAGCTGCTTCTCGGAAGACAGATCTCATCGACCGTGGTGGCTCGGCGTGTCTATCGATCATGTGACTTTTCCATAATGAATAAAGTCCTAACAACATAAACAGGTCGTAAGGAGTACTATAAGTCAGACTCTTTTTGAACGGAAGGAACCTAATACCATGGGCTGTGATTGGAAGTTCTTTTCTTAACGTTCTTTTTAGAATGTCCCAAAAATAAAAAAGCATCACGACAATGAATAAAACAATGCTCTATAGTCTCAGGTTGGTTGCAGAGTCTACAATTCACTGTCCAGAGTACGTATATTGATTTTTCATTCAGCCGCGTTTTCACTGGCAGCGTGGAAGTGTGCAGTTTAAAGAAAAATGTTTTCGCTGAAGGAGATATACACATTCTACGTACACGAAATAACACATCGTGACCAGACAGAAGCGAATACGGCTTTCGATAAACAGGTTCGGGGAAAAGAATATTCACAAGTGCAGCGGTTAAATTTGTTCTGTCTATAGTATACAAATACTCTAAGGTAAACCTGGCTTTCAAAAACTGACAGTATCAACAATTTCTTTTAGGAATCCCCGCAACGGCAATTCCTTAGCAACGCTTGTTGTGACATGAATAAAAGGAAGGTGGTAACATAGACGGTTACGAAGAACCGGTAATAGAAATGGGTGGCACACATCCTTGAGGTAGAAAAATCGCAACACCAACTGTCGCACGAACAAATGCACAAGGCCGAGACCACCCTTTTCGAGTGGAAGAAGAAGATTGTCTCTTTTCATGGGTTCCCAGGAAGAGCACCCACGCCTCTGCTTGTGAGTACAGTGAAAACAACTTCCATGATTTTCAAACACACGCAGCTTGTATACTTGTTTCACAATACAACACGCAATATTGCCGTAATAATGCATGGTACAAACATAGATTGCCTTCGGGTGTCAAAACATGTCATTATTAAAATGGCTTCTTAGTTTAAAGCCAATAACCCACTACAAGATGCACACACGCTACGGCCCCCTTGAGGCCTCGTAGTGGGTGCATAGCAAGTTCGAAAAGATGTCATGCACTAAGTGTTCAAAGTACGCACTAGAAACAGAATGTCGCTATCGCATTCAGCTCTTAAAGGCGAAATTCAAGGGTCCCCTATTATTTTGTTATTCTTGCACGCCGCAAGTTCTCGCTTCACACAGTGGGCCTTGTGAAAACCCCGAAGAGTTTACAGCATCCCCGGGAACTGTGCGCAAAAGACAGGCGACAAGCGAAAGCAGTGCGGAACAACCGCAGTGATGCACGGCCGCGGGAACGCCTTTTAAAAAAAAGGCCGCTAGTTTCCTCTCTGAATCTTTACGTTCGGGTGGTACAAAGCCATCCGCCGCGATCCGCGCATCTCGTGGGTGCTTGCACGAGTCACGCTTTGTCAAAATACGAAGGCATGCATTCAAGCGTGAAGGCGACTGCGCAACTGGTAGGTGGCGACAACGGTGTACGGCACCGCTCTCTGCTCTGCAGAGCACACAAAACAGGATCACGTGCCTCCTTACTACGTTAGCAGGAATCGGTGCCGCCTCGGCTGCCCTGAAAACTAAAAACGAATTCTCGGTCTAAAGGACACCGGAGAGGATGGTGAGAAAGGTGTGAACGGTCCACTTTTTTTTTTAAACTGAAAACGAGAACCTGCTTCGGCGATTGGCTCTTAGCGCTGGGAGGGCTTCGTATATTGACCGACTGGTGGGGATAAGCCCAAAGTGCGTTTTCGGAACGGGCCAAGAACATACTGCCATCTCTAATGGTGAGTCGCCCCTTACACCTACTGCGCTATCTGCCATGCTGTTCGCTTCACGAGCGTGGTAAACCCCACTTAAATTGAGGCTTAATGCGTTTGAAGAAAGGTCTCCTTCTGAAATTCTTGTTTTAAAATCAATGTATTCCTACCAGTCATTCCAGCTTGGTTACAATTTCATGCTTGCTCCTCGCTGCTACTCTCGACCCTTCAGAGGCGTATACGGTTATTATTGGTTATCACTGTCACCAGTGACTGCCTACCACATTTGTGGCAGGCCGTCACTGTCCGCAGCGTCGAATATAGTCGCTTGCTGAGACCACCAATTTCAACCACATGGAATGGCCCCCTGAGTGATCTTTCTTTGCTTGCAGTTTCCAATAACGAAATTGGTATAACGTGTAGGAAGTTACACCTAAGCCACAGTCTTTCGATGAGCAGACTGAATTGAGCCGCAGCGAGAGCAGTCATAACTTACTAAGTATTTGCACTGACGGACAGCTAAAAGACGTCGTTTTAAAGTCACATGTCTATTATAGACATGTGTGGACATTGATTTCTGGAACCAATTTTACAATAGTAATCTACAAGTATCAAAATCTAACCAATTCGCATCGAATGGAAGTTACATTTCAAATAGTTTAAATACTGAACAAAGTTTTGCGAATAATATAAAATAATGTTCCCACTGCCATATTCAAATCTTTGTCCTTACAAGTACAAATGGAGCATTGCAAACGAATAAGCAGCTTCTATGTGTGCACGTGACTGCTCAGAGATTGTGACTGGCATTGTTTAGCCGGTAAAGTCAGGCTTCTGTAACGGCAAAGCCTGCTGCACTATATACCCTATATGTCGAGCTCTCTGCTTGTACATTGTACGCGCGAATGAAATTTCTCGTAACCTTGCATCAATATCGTGTTTGTTTGGCACTGTTGGCATTTTCCAACATTCATATCCAATTAAAAAAATATTATCACTTTCGAATAGCGGCGACTTGATCCAAATACCCTATTGAATAAGTCACTATTCAATTAGACATTCAATATTTAGTAACATTCGTACACTCCCACAAGCGTTTCGAACTAGTTATTGGTGAAATGGCTGCAATCGGCCGCCGAGCAATGTCAAATTTGATCTTTCTGTCAGCGGGGAATCAAGTGGTGAATCATTCATTGGCAATGACTGCTGAGGAAAAAGAGGTCCCTTTATATCACAGTGGTGTTCAGAAAGTGTATACGCATGAAGTGAGATATAGAGATATTTGAAGCTCAAAACGTTCAAATAGCTTTCTTTTTTTTCTAGGTTTCACCAATATATGTACTTTATAAAGTGTATGCGTAATATGCGCCCAGAAGTTTCTAGCAAAGGGCATCATGGGATTTATCAATACAAAATTTTTTCGCTTCACAATTTGAATGCCCACAACTGAGGGATCGACTAAATCACCTAACTGCAATTGACGTTAACCCGACGTGATGACCTTATCGTAGGAGTACATATGTAATGTTATAAAATTGAATATCCCAGCATTGCAACTACAATTGACGTTTCACGAACATTAGGGTTTCTTTCAAAGTAGTTTCGAGACCTTGCGTGACTCTTGTGGTAGAATGCAGGGTTTGATTTCTGCTGGGACCATGGCATTTACTTTTTGCATTCGTCAGCTCAACGCTGCCGATGCGAAGTTTGTGTGAACGCTCATGCATTAAAATTGCTCATGTGTGTTCTCGTCGTTTCGGGTCAGATACTAAGTGTCATTCACCTGTGGCACATACGCGCATACCAGCGGCACATGCATATAGCCGCCCTTTGGTGCGCGTTACTGTCAGGCGGTAACTGTTTGACGGCGTACAGAACAAAATTGTGACGTTATTCATGTCTTGACCAGCGCGTCCTATTCGTGAAACCTACTTACCTTCTCATAATAATATAGGTGCACGCCAGGTTAAGGGATACGTAAGTGTCCAGATAGATAGATACACAGATAGACGACAAAAGTGCGTGTAGTAAGAAAAAAAATGCTTCTCATTTAAAAGCATGATGATGATTACGATGCTCCACAATACGAAGTTATAGAGTGCAGCAGGATTCAGCCATCAGCGGAACTGAGCCTCTGCTAGAACAATTATTTAGCAGCAGAGGCATTCCACCGGTGGCGTCCAAACTAAGCCGGCGCAAAAAGTTTCGCCAACTGCAGAATGAAAAGACTAAAGGAGTGAAAGTGCAAGAACGCTGAATTCGCATGATTAAGAAGGTTCGGGAAAACGCTGCCTTACTTGAAACCGTATAGCAGATCGAGCTCCCACAATCAAGTGTACTATGCTCCAAGGGGAGTAGCACAGAGGAGGATCAGAGTGACAGGCGGCCGGCATGCTTAAAGGAGTGTAGGCAGAAACGCACCTTCAATGCAGATTTAAAATCTTGTCTCTAAGAAGTAGACAACTTCCGTATGACGGCATGAATTAGAATCACGTGATAATAACATCGAACTTGGTCATACATGGTTACCCCTCAAAGAGGCCTTCGCACACTGTGCGAGGGGTATAGCTATAGGGCCTATAGCTATACCCGAACTGCACCCACACATTGCGTTTACCTTCTTTCATCCCCCCCTTTGCCATTCATGCACTCGTTGCGGGAGCTGTCGCAGGTCCTGTGTTCGGATTTCTGCGAGCTGTGTTTCATTCTATTTTGCACAGGTCAGCAGAACCTGTGGAGCTCACTCAGACTCTCCCATGAAATATATTTTGCACTTAGGACTCACTCGGACTCAGGCTAATCACAATTTTTCTGAACTGGACTAACTCGGACTCACACTTACGAAAATTTTCTTCAACTGAACTCTCCCACCAAAACATTACTCGCTCGGACCCAGTCAGACTCAGACTCAAGGCTTGTTCTGAGTCTGAGTCAGTCCGAGGGAATCGACTTAAGAGACTGTTAACCTAGCATTCGTTTTTAGAAAGCAACCTCGTACATGGATAATGTTATGCTATGCGAAACCCACTTTGCAAAACATTAACTACGTCATTAGACAGGGTTCATATTATACTCGATGTAGCCATATAAATTGCACATCTTCTTCACATTGCTTCAGCAAATGATCACATCGTCACCTTCGAGCGAATTCCTGCGCACTTCGGCATAATGGCAATGAAGATGCAGACGCTGAAGCTAAAAGAGGCTTAACCAGTGACCCTGCAGCGCACATTCCGTTTTCACGGCCTGACACGAACGCCCTGCTTCGGTGCGTGATGCGCCACTTGACGCTTGAGTGGTAGGCTAAAGCGGAGCGACAACACCGGTGATTACACAAATGTGACCCAGAAATGACATCACACACTCCTCATAAGTGAAAACGACACATGGCAAACATAGTTCACCGCATTCGTCTTGGTGTGAGCTTCACCAGACGTTGTGCCCATATCATCGGTTGTAGTGACACCGATCCTAACTGTGAACGGGAGAAACTTTAGAGCACAAACTTTCTATCTGCCCAGCATACGCACGTGAACGACAGCAATTTACATCCTCTACTGAGGGATAGCATAATTGACCTCTTAACTGATAAGGTTGTGTTGCGCCCTTGGCATGATGCCAGCAGTGCAACGGTGGCCATAAGAGTGGTCATACATCTTTTCTGCAAGCTACTGTACTGGATAAGCGTCTGTAGCACTGCGCCAACCTGACGGGACTGTACATACTCACCTCCTTACCTTAACATCGTCATTCATTACTCTTTTTCTTGCCCATTACCCTCCTCCAGTGTGGAGTAGCAGGCTAGAGCATACTATCGCTCAGGCCACCCTCTCTGCATGCCTTTCTGCGAACAAACCTCGCTCTCTCTTTTTCGACCACGATGCCAATGCTTTTCGACCACGATGCCAATATATCACGTTTACCGTGCTATTCTAGGCGCCTTTTGATATAGTACCTTCGAATTTGAGTTAACAGTGCTCGCAAACCATTTTTATCGAAAGAGATGCCAACCTAAGATGTTGACACATGCTTGCTGCAACAAAGCTTGAAAGACGACAGGGAAATTATGCATGTCCTTTGTAGGACAATAGAAAGGAAAAATTTAGCAGATTCCACGTACCTTGGCCATCGATATTATGTGAAACATAGAGTTTCCCAAAATTAACTACAGGGGACTCTGGCGCTGCGATCGTCCAGAGACTACGGGAATGATGGGCATAGTACACGGAGTAGCCTATAGTCTTCGCACTTGTGGTTTCGTTTATTACTGTAGTTCGGTTTTGTTTTGGAGGAAAGAACGAACCCTTTTTAACTTTGACCGGATTTGAAATGGTAAGCTTAAAATATTAGGGTGGTGAAGCACAACCACTGAACATTTGTTGATTTTTGTTTCGTAACAGAACAGCTCCAAGCCATACGAACACACACGGAGCCAGAAGTACGAAGATTAGACTAATCTGTGTACTACCCATCATTCCCACTCTCGCTGAAACACCATGTGTTGCAGCTCCTATAGACACTAGCGCCAGATTCCCTCTAGTGTATATTTAGAAAACTTTATCATGCAAAGCATGTGGATGGGAGGTGACTTTGCTGTAAATATATTTATATTGTGCGCAACGTTACGAAATGGCGTTAAATATATCTACAAGTGCACGCAAAGACATACGTTGAACACCCGCATATGTTTTATATAGCCAGTTGTTCACAGTTGCACAACGATGCCAACAGCAACATGGATATTAGCAACACCAGGAGCGGTAAGCTGATATAAAGCTCTGGTGCTCGCGAGAATGGTAGCCGTGGTCACTCCTGCATAAATCAATTTTGGATGGCAACTAATTACAGTTGACATTACCCAGACGTGATGGCCACATCACAGGATTAAATAGTCAGTTTCGCACCGAAACCACAGCACAAACGAAGACAGGACATGGACTGACCGGGCGCTCACTTGTAACTGTTTATTCTTTGAGGAAACAGGCTAATACAAACCTATTTCTTGTCAACGCATATGCAATGTGTTCGGGCAGTTGTTTACCTAATCATGCTATAGGACAAATGCTTTCCAGATACCGTGCTTTCGACTCGTACAGGATCAGTGAAGTTTCGCTAACACACAGTGATACCACATTTTTTGTGTAAAAGGCCTTCAAAGCCGAAACTTCACTCACCCTGTATACGATAGTCGAAAGTACGGTATCTTGAGTTCATGCGTAGTGTGATTAGGTAAACGACGGCCCGAGCACGTTGCACATGCGTGGACAAGAAATAGGTTTATATTAGCCTGTTTCCTCAAGGAATAAACAGTTACAAGAGATCGCCCATCCTGTCTATTTGTTTTCGTGTTCATGAGTTTGGCGCGATATTGACTGTTTAATTCAGACAAGCACCGATTAGCCCGACAACAGTTCTACTAGCGCATCACGGGAGTACATTTGTAATGTTTATAACATTGGATCGCCCAGCACTGACACCACAATGGACATTTTACGAACATTAGGGTCTATATTAGAGCCCCGCCGCGGTGGTCTAGTGGCTAAGGTACTCGGCTGCTGACCTGCAGGTTGCGGGATCGAATCCCGGCTGCGGCGGCTGCATTTCCGATGGAGGCGGAAATGTTGTAGGCCCGTGTGCTCAGATTTGGGTGCACGTTAAAAAACCCCAGGTGGTCAAAATTTTTGGAGTTCTCCACTATGGCGTCTCTCATAATCATATGGTGGTTTTGGGACGTTAAACTCCACAAATCAATCAATCAAGAGTCTATATTAGAAAAGTAGTTCCGAGAGTTGGCGCGGATCTGTGGAAGAATACTTAACGCTCACAAGTTAAAATTACCCATGTCTGTTATCACTGTTTCTGGGTAGATATAAACTGTCAATTACCTGTGGCATATGCCCACCAGTATATATGTTTATGCTATACGTCTGCACGTCTGGCGGAAAGGGTTTGACGACGTACGCGACAGAATTGGGACATTATTCCTGTTATGACCAGTGAGTCACATTCATCAAACCACCTTACCTTCTCATATTAATTTTGGTTTACCCTATGGTAGGGGGATCACAAGAGCAATCAGACGTAGGCGGCTTGACAGACAGACAGACAGACAGACAGAGAGACAGACAGACAGACAGACAGACAGACAGACAGACAGACAGACAGACAGACAGACAGACAGACAGACAGACAGACAGACAGACAGATAGATAGATAGATAGATAGATAGATAGATAGATAGATAGATAGATAGATAGATAGATAGATAGATAGATAGATAGATAGATAGATAGATAGAGTACCTGCAAGATGCAAAGAAATTGCTTACATTTAAAAAGAACAAGTTGCTTGCGTGCGGTAATACAAAATACCGACCTGCTGCTGCTATCCCCAGAGTGGATTGCACCAATATGTTGAGGAACCAACCAGCTCCTGTTATATCGATATTGTCGAGACCTCTGGTTTGACGTCACGGCAATATACTGATCAAGAACTTCAAAGTGTTGGGCGGTGGAGAAGAGGGTCAAGGCAGCCTTTTACGTATGCTGTTCATGCTTATGATCAATGGATATTGAAATCGTGTATGAAAGACACTGCTTTGAAATACGTCCGAGTAGACGTGAGTATAAGAGTGAACCCAGACAAGGCTAGTAGTAATGTTGAAGATGAGTAAATATGACCATACGTCGGCAAAAAATAGAGGTAGTTGAACTTACTCAAGAAATATATCTCGTGCTTTGGACACTCACACTCACCAAAAATTTTGGAGCCGAGCTCACCTGAACTCATTCTCATGAAAATGTTCTTCAACTGGATTCACTCGGACTCAATCTCACCAAGATATTACTCCTTCGGACTCATTCAGACAGACGCTGAGTTAGTCCGAATGAATCGACTCATAAGTGAGTTCGCCGACCTAGGCTTTCACGTGCACACTTTTCGCTCGGTTTCAAGAGACGGTGTGAAACCTTGAACGGACGCATAATAGAGCTCTATAAACCTAATGAATTTGGCTACAGTTTCATGTAAGCTGTAAGCCCACCATTATAGCTCACGTAGATGTAATTATCTCACCATAGCGAAAACACTCAAATGTAATGTCGTTTAGTGAAACAGACGTCCGCAAGCTTGACATCCTCGCTCGCGAAAATGATAACCATAACCAATGAAATAAGCGATACTTTGTCATCGTCATATGCGATGACTATACTGGACATTAATTACATTTGCTCCTTTTCGGTCAGATAACCGATGACCATTTAAAGCGAGAAAATAAATACCGAAGAATAGCAAACGCTGCCAAGATCGGTAGGTGGGACGTGGTGACGAAATGAAGAAATTTGGGGACATGAAATGGCAGCACGTCAGTTAAGGGCGTGCTTGCTTCCGCTTGAAAATATGCGTGTGCACAGGATGCTTCATTAGTATTCTTATATGGCTCAATTTTTGATGCAGGCTGGCGTTGTACTTCTCGTGGCCGCGGCCGTTGCGTCTAACTTCGTTCTGTTCTCGGCTTCGGAGAGTGATGATGTTCTACCCAGCGTGCGCTACCATGACTACGACAGTCCTAATAGACGTCATAACACTCTCAGCAACAGTCCCGAGTTCGTGAAAGATCTCTACAGCCTGCAGTCAATACCTGTCCCGGGTGTCGACTACGAGTTCGTCGCAGTACCTTTAAAGCTTCCGGTTGATTACCGAAATATAGATTCTGACGATGGAGAAGAAAAAGATGCGACTGTAGACTCTGCACAAAAAATCTCCAATAAGGATCCACAAGTCACCACGAATAATGACGCCAGTTCGGAAGCGGATGAGGGTACCAGCGCACAGAACAAAGAGGCACGAGATTCGCTGAAGCAGGATACCCCAAGAAGGCCACTCTTCGACAGCAGTGACGAACGCCATGATAGTTCTAGGCCTATATTCGATGACGACAGAGGTCGAAGAGAGTACGAGAGCTACCCGTCCAAGTTGCTTCCCCCACCAAAACTAAGGACGCGGCTCGAATCTCAATATCCTGCTGCGTCCTCTTACCCCGGTCGCCGAGACGTGGAGGTGCCTCGGACTGGCTTTCTCGGCGTCTCACATGGGCGCCTCGAGCCGCAACCAACGGGTTCCATGCAGGGTGGCGGGAGGAGTGACGAGCGCTCTTCCAAGCCTGTTGTGGAATTCCACTTCGACATCCCGAATGACAAATTTCATTCGGACCTCGCTCATGGCAGATTCAGTACGTTTAAAGAAGTGCCGAGCTCGCTCGACACCCTCGTCAGCAGTGACGTCAGCTTCCTTAACAAAATGATTGCCGACCCTCCGGTGCCAGACAACGCGACTCGAGACGGCACTGAACATTCTAACAATGCCGGCGGAGGAGACCAAGCGAACGCCGTGGTTCGCATGTTTCCGTCCATCGCACAGCATCAGCCCAGTGACCGTACTCCAAGTTCGTACCAGACATATCCACCGAACGAACATCGAGCGCCCGAGCGTCACGAGTCAAGTCCAGTGTCGTACGAGGATAGTAGAAGCTATAGTCAGCCCGATTCTGAGCTACGTGGATACAGTGCTGAGCGGGATTACCCTTACAAGGCTGCCTCGTCGACACTACAGGTGAAAAGCAAGCCAGCGAATAGAACACCGCGGGCGAAGAGGGCGTCCAAGACGTCTGGACACCGAGAGACACGCATTTCATCTGATTTTATTGAAAAGAACGCGAGCTCTACGGAAACCATGGTGGCTGATCATAGATCCACGCTCGCTTCCTGTACTGACCAGGACACGCTGCCGTTCTGCTTGGTTGACCCATCTTACCCGACGTGAGTACTGTTTCAGTAATTGGTCGAACAGGCCTGTATATTCTGAATGATATCTGGAACCGAATTCACAGGGCTAGTATTTTAACGAGTACACTTTGCCATTGGCCATTCACCTTCGGTAATGATGTCCAGCTTCAATGTCAACCAAAAATATATTTTACTGCCAGTTCGGACGGCTGAGGTTTTTGTTTGTGAATAGAGGCCGTGATTTATATAAAACAGTTATTCATGTTTTTTATACTCTGAGGGCGTACGAGTATATTATCACAATGGTTATCCAACCCTCTTCTTAGAGCTAAACAGCCCGAAATATTGCCTGCTTAGCTACCACGGTGGATACAAACATCACAGTGGACCATTCAATTTCGTACTCATAAATTTATTCTGACGGGCATCCAGGTATACGGCACTGTATATCGGAAAAAAGCTGAAAACGAAACTACTGAAAATTGAGTTGCAAGGCTATCCCTACCTCAAAAATCATTAAAAAACGATCAATCAACTACCCTAAAGTTTAGCAAATCTTGTGTTATTTATAATTATTGAACTCTGATGTATTGGTACATAACCATCAAATATATTTCTTTTGACGCTATTTATAAGAATTCTCAGGCCTTTGGGTATACATTTCAGCAGATTTGCTGAGCAAAACCTCATAGCTTGTGAACCATCATACAAGTATGCACCGGCAAGGCATTCCTGTTTTATTGCAATTGCCACATAAAAAAAAGCTAATTGCATCCAAAAATCCCGATGACATTTCGGCAGAATTACCGTTTATTACGTAAGCAAAAAACAACACCGTTTACTTGTCGTAGCTTTCATCCTAGCCGTTCGTCTACGGCTGCTTTTTGGAATACATCCAAGAGACAGGTGATTTATGTCTCGAAAACTGCTGGGACATTTCACTCTAGCAGCGTCTAGTAAGAGTTAACATAATGGTCTCTGCAGACGGATGAATATATTAGTGAAGGCTTATAAAGGGTCCACAAAAAAAGTCTATTGCACACAGAGATGACATCCTTCATGACTTCCTTCCACAATATTGAGAACTGCTTTGGCCAGCCAGTGTAAAGTTCTGAATCGCCAATAGGATTTCCGTTTTTTTAACTACTTGACGTTTCTAGCTCTCCTCAAAGAATGTTGGGTTGACTGCGACAGGTGAGTGTGAGCGGATGGCTAATTTTCTAAAGCAAATAGGCGAACAGTTTATTAATAAATATATTGTTGACCAATTAAAACAGTCCGAATTCGCTAAAATGAGAAATTATCTTTGCTTTTTTAACGACAAATTGGAATTTCTTCTAGTATTGTGCCGCTTTTCTCTCTCTTCATCACTGTAGGGGGCGAGAAAAATCATTAAATTTGAGTGGTGTGCAGCTACACCTAGGTACTTGTTCTTACTAAATGAAACTTGCTGTGCCAGGTGTACGTGCGTATAGCCCTCTTTAAATGCACAAATAAAAGGAAATGGAAGCTTCTTACCCAATTCCTACTATAACTATGGTGGTTCAGAGCAAAATATTGTGCTCATTGTCATTATTTTCATGCAAAAAATATCACTCTTAGCGTTTGAGCTTTTTGTAACATTTTCATGTTCTAATATCAAGCAGGGCCACTCACAGGTTGAAGGGTATACGCAGAACCGAGTTTTACGTGGATTTAAGTTATCCCGGGTTCAGAGGTCTACGAACCGGAGTTATTTGCCAACGAATCGCGCAGACTTGCCTGTTTGGTGCGACGACCTTTATGCAGGAAGGATATTGCAATGGCGCTCCGGGAAGACGTCGAGTTCAAGCGGATCTTCAATCATCTCAGAGCAGCCCAAAACAGTGGCGGCAGGGAGCACGGCACCGCGCGGAATGTAGCCGCCCATTGCCCGAGCTTCGTGCGGCCTGTGCGGCCCCTGAAAGGCAGAGACATGCTGGGAGAATGGAAGACCATTGTCAACATCGACGGCTTTGGCCAAGAACTGCTACTGAACACGTGCAGGTACGTGGTCACATTATAGGTAAGGGTCCGGAGATAATAACGAATTTTCCGAAAGGGTGGGAGGCGAGGTTTTAACTTCTCAAAAGTTTATTACCTGAAGCGGCGTATACGGGCCGTCAACACCCACACTCAACTTCTATGGTGAAGAATTAAGGAGGTTGGGGAAGAAGGGGTCAAGACGTTTGGACAACCACTTTGGGTATAACTGCAGCAAGAGCTCCTTTCTGAGGACTATCTGGAAAACGCTAGCGTGCTTCATAGCCTTATATAGTATACTTTCACGCACTAAATTGAACTGTGTGTAAATATGGAAGATCTGCACTACAAGGCAAAACAATAGTTCGAATGAAAATAAAAGCTGGGATTGTCTTTGTCACCACGTTGATATGTGTGTTAGTGTCCACTGTACAGTCAGTACTGTCAGTACTACTATAGCGGTGGTGCTCATGTTATATATATATATATATATATATATATATATATATATAGATATATATATATATATATATATATATATATATATATATATATATATATATATATATATATATATATATATATATATATATATATATATATATATATATATATATATATATATATATATATATATACATATATATATATATATATATATATATATATATATATATATATATATATATATATATATATATATATCAGCGTTTATTTCGCCCAAGAGCTCAGCATCAGCAGCGAACGGGCAGTCTGAGTCAACAGAACACGCCCACGCCCGATGATGATGGTGGTGACACCCATAGATGAGGACAGAGACCCAGACGAATGATGATGACTATGATAATTCATATATGAGAAGAAGTGCATAACGAATGCCCACACTAATTCCTCCCACATGGAAACGGCCAACCTGGCCATAGCAAGTCAATGTGACAGAGAACATCGCCTGAAAGGCTTCATGCGAGACACGTGCACGATCTCTGTGGTGTGGTGACGGTGGTCTGTTGGTAAGACAAGGGGTGTCACACGATAATTAACGGGCGAAGTATGCTCGATAACTATGTAAGGCCCAATGAAGTGTGGCTGAAACTTGTCACAGACCAGGTGTACGAATAGATGTGAACAGGAGCACCTAGTCACCAGGTCGTAAGAATACAAGGCGATGGGATGTGTCATAAGTAGCTTTTCGATCTTGCTGTCGCGCTTCCGTGTTGATACGAGTACAATCGTGACACCGGGATATACTCTTAATGTATTCCTCGCTGGAAGACGGGGACGGTTGACGTCGGCGTTGAAAAAAAGCGTCGAGGAAGAAAGTAGGGGAACGTCCATAAACTAGGTAGAATGGTGAATATCTGGTGGTGCGCTGAATAGCCAAGTTGTATATAGGCAAAGGTGAGGAATGGGCGAAGGGTATTCCAGTTTTTGTGGTCTGGACTGATGTAGACGGCCATCATATAAGCAAGAGTACGATGAAATCTCTCGGTGAGACCGTTGGTCTGAAAGTGGTAGCTTGAAGTTGTCTTGTGCGTTATTCCAGAGGCGCGCGCAATACTTCATTTAGCACTTCTGACAAAAACACCCTTCCACGGTCACTCAGCAGTATACGAGGGTCGCCATGGCACAGAATGATGGCGTGAAAAATGAAGTCGGCAACTTTCGAAGCAGAGGCAGTTGACAACTTGACACAGACGTTGTCTGCGCGTAGCGTGACAGGTGTTCTACGGCGGTTACTATCCATCGTTTTCCAGTAAATGTGACAGGAAGGGGGTGTTAAAGGTCGACACCTACAACATCAAATGGCGTTGTGCGGCACGGAGTTGGCTGCAGAGGCCCACAACAAAATTGGCGGCAGGAATTGGCTGCAGAGGCTGCAGATGTCTGGATTTTACAACACTGGCAAGGGACACAGGAACCGATGTAGCGTGCGATGCTAGTAGAAATACTAGGCCAGTAGAAGCGACTTCAAATGCGGTCGTGAGTTTTTTTTTTTTTTTGAAAACCAAGATAGCCGGCAGCCAAGTCATCATGGAAGGCTTTAAGCACGTCAAGTCGAAGAGAGCGTGGTAGCATGGGAACCCAGCGTTGACCATCAGGGTGGTAGATGTGATGGTACAGAACACCATTCTCCAGCCTAAATCGCAAGAGTTGACGACGAAGCCACGCGTTAGGTGGATGGGAAGCTACTGAGAGCTGGTCCATATTACGCCTGCAGTACGGATAAGACAAGTGGCAGGAGTGAAATGTGTGCTTGTCGTCCAAAAATAGCTGGTCTATTGAGGCGAGCGAGGGCGCTGCGGTAGAAGTGATGGCTGAACGTTGACCGATACTGAGCTGGGTATGTGGTAGCGGGCAGTGTGAAAGGGCGTCGGCTTCTTGGTGATTTCTGCGAAACTTGTAAATGATGTCAAAGTCATACTCCTATAAATGCAGAATTCACCAACCCAAGCGTCCAGACAAGATCTTCAGCGTGGAAAGCCAGCATAAGGTGTGATGGTCCGTAACGATCGTAAAATGACGGCCGTGGAGATAGGGACGAAACTTTTGCACTGACTAGACCCCAGCCAAGCACTCCTGCTCAGTTATGGTATAGCTCTTTTCGGTCGCGGTTAGTACTCGACTGGCATATGCAACTACTCAAAAGTGTGGCAGCTTGGGTTAATTGGTATGACATGACGATAGTTATAGCGCGAGAACAAAACGACGACACAGAGACAAGAAGGACACGAAATACACGAGCGCTAACTTCCAACTGAGTTTATTGCGCAGAGCACGAAAATATATAGAGGAGACAGTAACCATGTGATAAAAACCATATGGCACAAAGAGCAGAACATGAGTAAGAAAAAAACAAAGACAAAAAACAAAAGCACAAAAAACAGCAAAGAAAAAAATTATAAGAAAACGAAACAGAAAAGTAAAGATAATATGACTAGTTGCGCGCACCGAAACCTTCGAGGAACCTGAGTTCCTTCTCCGACAGAGCCACAGAGGGCTTGCTAATACAAGGCACCTGTTCGCGTGCCATCTGCGCGGCCTTGACAATGACTCGTGTGCGCTCATCTCTGTGCTTGTAGAGCGTCACTGTGTCCTTTTTTTTTCTTTGCCGTTTTTCTGTGCTTTTGTTTTTGTCTTTGTTTTTCTCAGAAAGCCCGAAACTTTATAAACCCCACTCTTCCTCCGAGAAGTACGCATTTTTCTGTTTAACAAAAAAATATACACATCGTGGAAATGTACACCATTGCCAAGTTTATTCCTAATGTGCGTTACTAATTTTTCAGCTTTTATTAGCAATCCCGCAACACGTCATCTGAATACACTAGCGTGTCACAGATAACGTTAATAAACATGTTTATTCAGATTTATAAGTGTCGTACGTGCTGCAGTTTTGTGCATGTGCCTCGTTTATCTCTTTCTTTTTTCGCGTTCCTCACCCGACCAAAGGTGCGGTGCAGCAAAGCTGACGCTTTTTCTGATTGGCCTCCCTGTCTTTCCTTTTCTTCTATCTCTATCGCTATCTAAATTCTTCTAATCGGCAATGTAATTAGCACATAGAAATATTATTTATGGCAGGAGTAGACAAATAGACAAACATCGCATAGGTCTGGTAACACCATATTATACCTTTCTCTCCCCTTCTTTTTCTTTATCTTGACTGAAGTGAGCAGCTGCACCCAGTAGAACGAAGATTTTGAAGCCTGTTTCTTGGTTTTGAGTTAGGATGGGGAGGTTTTCCAAGTTCGAACACTTAGCTGTTATGGGTTACGTTGCTGATTCGAACTGTAATACATGTTAGGCAAAGTTTTTTTTTTCTTTTTAGCTTCCCCAATTTTTGAAATGTGTAGCTGCCGAACCGTAACATTTAAAATCTACGCAAAAATGTGGTTGTTTCCTGATTTGTGTGTTTCAGTTTCATATTTTCCTAACTAGCCAAGTCGCTGGTGCTCTGACGTAGTAAATTTGATGAAAGTGGACAGAGATGACCAAATACGGTATAGGCGTAATACCTCTATATTCTACGATCTTTCTGTTACCTTTAAAAAAGATTGGCTAAACTTGACTGGTCTATCTTGCATAATTTTAACTAAACCCATGGCGGGTAACCCTGGTTTTGTGGCACTGTTCTTTTTTTTCTATAAGCTTTACTATAAACTTAGATATACCTAAAATACAGAGCACACACAAAAAGTTTCCACATTATCATAATACCAATGGCATGCAACTTGAGTATGGACATCGGCACACAGGCATTCGTGCGATTTATTCCCTGAAGTGAAACCTTCATCAGATTCGATCTCTTGCTGTCGCGTCCAGCTTCCTTACGCCACATCCACTGAGTCATCATCGCGACGCTATTTTTTATTGCCAATGTGGGAAGTTTCAGGTCAGTTTTTGGAGCAACGTCACCCCCGCACAAACGCACACGTACCCAAGCGCGTGCGAGTGACGTCTGTGCAGCGCGTATATACACTGGCTAAGCATAAGTAAACATGAAACTTTTCGTAATGTTGTGATAGTGGGATGTGAGCTGTGGAACTCTAGGGCGCTATGCAGGATCTCCCGAGCTTGGGGAAACTCGGAGCTTGGGGAAACTCGGAAAGCGTCACAAGATTTTCCTGAGCGTATTCTTTAAAGGCACAAGATGTTTAAATTCATTTTGAAGCTCCTAATACCTGGACCAAGTCTGATTTAGAATAATCAGCATGATGGCCTCTGAGATCAGCTCCGTCCGAGCGCCTCACCACATCGCGACCAGAGCTAAACCCGAAGTGCAGTGAAATGGGGTGCTATGCAGGATGACCCAAGCTTCTCGGGCAGACGAGTTTGGTCCGAGGTCGCTCTGTGGCGGCCATGACACGAAGACAGTGCGGAGCATGTGATAACAGCGTTTATAAAAGTGGCTACGAGAACGTGCATGGGGTTGGAAACGCATGTGCTACATTTGTGGTGGTTATCAAAGAAACGCCGCATTCGAACCTGTAAGTGCCACCACCCAGTCAATATTTTAACAGTGCCGTGAT